GACCACTCCTGTCTCGCAATCAGCCTCGCCCCCCCCGCCGTGATCCCCGCCGTCCTCCACCCTGACCCCCACCGTGCCCTGGTATCTTCCCCGCCCAGAATCTCTGTTCTTGTGGCTTTCCACCCGACAATTCCTGGCCTGGAATCGACCCCAACCCCGCGCGTTGACCCCCACCGTGCCCTGGCGTCTTCCCCGCCCACAACATAGGTTCTTGGGCCCCCCGCACGACTCTTCTTGGCCTGGAACCCACCCCGACCCTCCACCCTGACCTCCACCGTGCCCCGGCATCACTTCTGCTCTTGGGTCCCCCCCATCGACAGTTCCTGGCCTGGAATCAACCCCGACCACCCACCCTGACCCCCACCGCGTTCCGGCATCCTCCCCGACAAGAACCTTGTGTTTGGGCCCTCCCGCCCGACCATTCCTGGCCATGAACCTACCCCGACCCCCCCGCCTGACCCCCACCGTGCCCCCGCATCTCCTGCCCAGAACCTCTGTTTGTGGACCCCCCCCACATGACAATTCCTGGCCTGGAATCGACCCCGACCCTATCATCTAATTTTTCGCCGCGAGCGAACCCGCGAACTTGTGCCGAACAACTTCCAGTACAAATGCAGAACAGATCTATGATACCTCCACCGCGAACAAGCCCGAGAAGCTGTGCCGAACAACCTCCCGACCAAACAGAAAACTCAACTTGCAATGATACATCTGGAACCTTACACAAACCAGCGAAGGGCAACATATATGCGCACTGCATTCGAACCGCACAAAAATGCAAGGATTGCTAAACACTAAACGTCGCTCAAAACTACGATTGCTCACTCAAATGCTGTTTCTACCGATTGTTTCGCAATGCTAGAGAGCAAACAAAAAAGGAAGTACCTGAAACTGTACATGATTTTGCAAACTAACATCGAAAACATGGCTGATCGATACAATGTTGCTTTACCACTGCTAACTAAAAACTAAGTGAGATCGGATCTCTCCCTGCATTACACAGTGTACCCACCACGATTACATGTTTAAAGGAGACGGATAACTTCGCGCACAGCCTCCCAAATCGCGTCTCTGGATTGAAACGCCCGCGAACGTGGGGGCGAAACCCACGTATTGCGATATACGGGAAACAACACGAATCCGATAGAAAGCCCTCAGGGCTACACAGAGGCGCACAAGCGAGATAAGAACGCAAGACGCTGCTAAACTAGTCCAGAACATCTTGAGCGTTGACACGCAACTAATTATTGAGTGCCATCGTTGTGCTCGAATGTGCTGCAAAAGTGGCTCATATGCTACTTGAAGCTTGCGGGATCAACCATGCAACCAAGGGTGTACAAACTTGAGAACAGCAAAACGCAAATATGATAACAATCGTGTGCAAACTTTAGAACATGAGCGCACACTTCAGGGTAAGAATGCACACGTTGGCAAGGTATTGTTTACGAAAGTAACGCACACTTGATGACACTAGCGTGCGCTTCGAAACGCTACACAACCGCATAGGATAAACATAACGCACGCTTGCAGCACAATGTAGAACAACAGTACACAAACTTTAGAACACATATGTACAACTTAGACAACAAGTTTAAACTTTCACACCACAAAGCAAACCACCATACATCATCGCGTATAAAACTCATCAATTCACCACTTGAACAACACTACGCATACAAAGACAACTGTCGACCATCTGTTGTTACCTAACAGCGAAGACTGATAGGCTTCTAGTGGTGTCAAAAGAGAGCATCTGATGACTCAGAAGGGAGGTCTGGGCGGCATCCGGACAGCGAGGGCCGGGCTCAGGGCCGGGCTCGTTTTAAGCAAACAGTCACACACTTCGTGGCCTTCGAGGTCCCAGAACTCCATTCTCGGTCCACATTCTGAATGCCCGGAGCCAACTGTAGGCCACTTCGTGGTCTTCGAGTTCCCAGAACTCCATTCCCGGGCCACATTTTGAATGCCCGGAACCAACTGTAGGCCACTTCGTGCTCTTCGACTTCCCAGAACTCCATTCCCGGGCCACATTTTGAATGCCCGGAGCCAACTGTAGGCCACTTCGTGGTCTTCGAGTTCCCAGAACTCCATTCCTGGGCATGATTTTGAATGCCCGGAGCCAACTGTAGGCCACTTCGTGTTTTTCGAGTTCCCAGAACTCCATTCCCGGGCCACATTTTGAATGCTGAGGCAGGCTGATGCTGAGGCTGAGGCAGGCTGAGGCTGAGGCAGGGTGAGGCTGAGGCCGAGGCTGAAGGCAGACTGAGGCTGAGGCTGAAGCAGGCTGAGGCTGAGGCTGAGGCCGGCTGAGGCTGAGGCTGAGGCAGGCTGAGGCTGAGGCAGGCTGAGGCCGAGGCCGAGGCTGCAGGCAGACTGAGGCTGAGGCTGAAGCAGGCTGAGGCTGAGGCTGAGGCAGGCTGAGGCTGAGGCTGAGGCAGGCTGATGCTGAGGCAGGCTGAGGCTGAGGCTGAGGCTGATGCAGCCTGAGGCTGAGGCAGGCTGAGGCTGAGGCCGAGGCTGAAGGCAGACTGAGGCTGAGGCTGAAGCAGGCTGAGGCTGAGGCTGAGGCTGAGGCAGGCTGAGGCTGAGGCTGAGGCAGGCTGAGGCTGAGGCTGAGGCAGGCTGATGCTGATGCAGGCTGAGGCTGAGGCTGAGGCTGATGCAGGCTGAGGCTGAGGCAGGCTGACGCTGAGGCCGAGGCTGAAGGCAGATTGAGGCTGAGGCTGAAGCAGGCTGAGGCTGAGGCAGGCTGAGGCTGAGGCTGAGGCAGGCTGAGGCTGAGGCTGAGGCAGGCTGATGCTGAGGCAGGCTGAGGCTGAGGCTGAGGCAGGGTGAGGCTGAGGCAGGCTGAGGCTGAGGCCGAGGCTGAAGGCAGACTGAGGCTGAGGCTGAAGCAGGCTGAGGCTGAGGCTGAGGCAGGCTGAGGCTGAGGCTGAGGCAGGCTAATGCTGAGGCAGGCTGAGGCTGAGGCTGAGCTGATGCAGGCTGAGGCTGAGGCACGCTGAGGATGAGGCGAGGCTGCGGCAGACTGAGGCTGAGGCTGAGGCAGGCTGAGGCCGAGGCTGAGGCAGGCGGAGGCTGAGGCCGAGGCTGAAGGCAGACTGATACTGAGGCTGAAGCAGGCTGAGGCTGAGGCTGAGGCAGGCTGAGGCTGAGGCTGAGGCAGGCTGATGCTGAGGCAGGCTGAGGCTGAGGCTGAGGCTGATGCAGGCTGAGGCTGAGGCAGGCTGAGGCTGAGGCCGAGGCTGGAGGCAGACTGAGGCTGAGGCTGAAGCAGGCTGAGGCTGAGGCTGAGGCAGGCTGAGGCTGAGGCTGAGGCTGAGGCAGGCTGATGCTGAGGCAGGCTGAGGCTGAGGCTGAGGCTAATGCAGGCTGAGGCTGAGGCAGGCCGAGGCTGAGGCCGAGGGCGACGGCAGACTGAGGCTGAGCCTGAAGCAGGCTGAGGCTGAGGCAGAGGCATCTGAGGCTGAGGCTGAGGCAGGCTGATGCTGAGGCAGGCTGAGGCTGAGGCTGAGGCTGATGCAGGCTGAGGCTGAGGCAGGCTGAGGCTGAGGCCGAGGCCGACGGCAGACTGAGGCTGAGGCTGAAGCAGGCTGATGCTGAGGCAGAGGCAGGCTGAGGCTGAGGCTGAGGCAGGCTGATGCTGAGGCAGGCTGAGGCTGAGGCTGAGGCTGAGGCTGAGGCTGAGGCTGATGCAGGCTGAGGCTGAGGCAGGCTGAGGCTGAGGCCGAGGCTGAAGGCAGACTGATGATGAGGCTGATGCAGGCTGAGGCTGAGGCTGAGGCAGGCTGAGGCTGAGGCAGGCTGAGGCTGAGGCTGAGGCAGGCTGAGGCTGAGGCTGCGACTGCGACTGCCGTTGCCACTGCGACTGCCATCGCGAATGCGACTACGACTGCGAGAACAGCAGAATTCTACAACAGGATTCTCATCTGAATCTTAAGGGGAATGCTTCCAGATATGCTCCTACACATCGCTGTTAGGTTGCTTTGCCGGGATAATATGTTTTTAGGACGATGTACAATGTTCTCATGCTTTGAACACCACTAGTTTTAGGATACCACGCGCACTGCAACATACGAGTACGTTTTCTGGTCCGATCTGCCTCGCGACGACATTTGATCTCACATCTCTTCCTGGTGTAGAAGGCGCAAGGCTGCCTGGCAAGACCTGGGCGCCGGGCCGGGCGCAGTGGAAGAAGACGAACAAACAAAAACACACACCAGCGCCTGACCGCCTGGCAAGCCCGAGGCTCCAGTCCCAAGACGGCCCCCAAAACGGCTCAGGAGTCGCCGAGGCGGTTTCAAGACGGCGCAAGAAAAGGCCCCAGACGGCCCAGGACGGCCCCAGGAGAGCCCCCAGGCTGGCCCAAGAGGGCCCCTGGAGGGATCTGGCGCAGCCTCCGACAGCCCCTCCACGGCCCCAGACGGACCCAAGACGGCCCCAAGAGGACCGCCAAACGGCCAAGAAGGCCCGAAGACGGCCGAAGAGAGTCCCAAGACCGCCCAAAGGGCCCCAAGACGGCCGAAGGGGGCCCCAAGGGTCCTCGAGACTGCCTCGCAGGAGCCCACGACAACCCCAAGACGGCCCAACGGAGCTCCATCAAATCTCTTCAAGAAGTGGATCCGAGAGGCGTCGCGTCTGTCATAATCATTGTCGTCTTCGTCGTCACCGTCATCACCATTCGAAGAGCTGCCGCCCAAATGGCTGGGGCTGCCGCGGTGGCGGGGCTCCCGGCAGGCAGGTGGATTTGTTCGCGGGGCGGGCTGCACTGGCTGTGGCGACGCCAGGGAAGACTGGACAAAACTAAGCGCAGCTCCTAAGTTCCAGTCCAGAAGTCCGTCTACGTCGGGTCATAGCTTCGCTGCGGGAGTCCACCAGCACAATCGACGCGGCAAGCGGCTGGCACAGGGAGGTGGAAACAACAGTAGTCATCCCGGTAAATGTTGCACACTCGCTGCTTGAGGCTGACTGGCAGCGTGGCCACGTCGAGGGTTTCTCCATATGATGAGTGGGGGTCACGTTGGCGAGGGACCACTTGGGGCCAGTTCACGATGCCGAAACGCTGCTTCTGCAGCTCCCCTAGCTGAGCCCAGTCTGTGGCGATGGTTGCAAGTGTGCCCACGAAATCATAAGAATGTCCAGGTGGAAGGAAAACGGTCCTCTGCCCATGACCATGACCACGGTCTCCTTTCGTCCGGGCAAGTTTGGCGGTCGCATTGTCGAAGGCCTGCAATGCCCCTGACTTCTTCTTATGATTCTTCCACTCTATCTCGAAGAACCAAGACACGCTCCGCTCCAGCGGATCCCGCACCACGGTGAACACCGTGTAGTTCCAGTTGGGATTCGCGGCGTTTTTGGTACCCATCATGTCCCGAATCGTGGACGAGCCTGACTTGGACATGAGCACGTACGTGAGTTTCAGCGCGTCGCTCACTATGTAGATCGTCGACAGCTTGCGGGCCGTCCTGTAACTCATGTTGCAGGTCCGCCAGCTTCGGGCGCGCGCCAGCCCACCCCAATCCCCTTCCTCTGGAGACTTGCTCTGCTGCACAGGGGCCGCGGGGCGCCCCTCGTCCTTCGGAACCCCGCTCTGCTGCGGAGGGGTCGCGGGGTGCCCGCCCTCCCTTGGAGCCCCGCTCCACTCCAGAGGGGCCTGCTGCGGGGGGGCCGCGGCGCGCCCCTCGCCCGTCGGAGCCACGTTCCGTTTCGGAAGGGCCGCGGGGGGGCCGCCCTCCCTCGGAGCCCCGCTCTGCTCCGGAGGGGGCCGTGGAGGGCCGCCCCTGGCCCCCAGGGCCAAGCCCTGCTGCGGGGGGGGCCGCGGGGGGCTTCGGAGTCCCGTGTTGCTGCGGAGGGGCCGCTGGGGACCTGTCACGCATTGTGATGGTCGGCTCGTTGTACATCCACGTGTTTTGCCGACGTCCTCCTGCACCCAGAAAGGCGACAGCCCACAGACCAATGATGGCAATGAGAAAAGAGCTCCAATGCTGGCAGAAGCCCATTAGTAATAATGAGAGGAAGGATAGGCGCTGTCTTCATGTATGTACTGTTGCATTGAGTAGTGATTCGCTCATATATTGAACCACGACAAGTTGAATTACTATAGCTCGAGCCAAGGCTACGGACATGCGAATAATGGCAGTAACACGCGTATTCACAACACTGTGCCAGACCTTGCTAGTAGCACAATTTGCTAGTAGCACAATCTTGCCTGCGAGAGACACAGTGTGCCTGTGAGTACCACGGAACTCTGCGAACACCGCGACTCGCCTATGAGCTGAGCGCAAAGGGCATGTACATACCACTAGCTACTCCACACCAAGTTGTGATAGCCTCCCTCTTCTTTCCTCCATCCTCCTCTGCCTCGTCCTCTTAGTCCTTCGTGGGCAGAAGAATGGCCTGGGAGGCACCGCGTCGCGCCCGTGAGCGCGCCAATCAATGCGTTTGCGACCACAGGGTGGCGGGGGACGCCAGACCGTGCCAATGCCACAACCGCCAGCGACCGCCACATGCATGAGCAGCAGTACGCCGGCTTCTGCAAATGCCGCAATGACCCGCGATCGAAGCAGTATGTGTGCGAGCGCAGGCAGTGCCTCCGAGCGTCACAGCATGCTCGTGAGCACCGCCGCTTGCCTGCGAGCGCCACAACATGCCTGCCAACACCACAACTGCGCGCGAACACAACAGCATGCAGGGTGCGCGTGGCCGCCACACTCGCCTGCAAATGTCACCACGTGCATGCGAGCGGGTGGGCGGGCGGAACCCGCCTCCCCGCGAGATCGCCACTGCTGCGGGGGGGAGGGCGGACCCCCTTGGCGGACGTTGCGGGTGATATTGGATTCAGAAACAAGCTCCGATGACAGCGGTCTGCCATACATTGTGTAGCTGCTGTGGGCCTGACGCGATGATCGAGTACAGGCCGCAGTCGGCAAGAAGTTCATGACGCGGACAAGGTCTTCGTCTCCGCCGGGGTGAAGCTCATCACGTCCATTCTTTCACGGCGTCGAAGCTTGTGCTGCCGCTGATGACGAAGACCCTGGGTTTCTGGGCACAGGCCACACATATTTTCCCAAATCGTTCCTGCATGTGCTTCCGAATCATCATTCCAGTCTGGTCGCAATGTTCAACGAGCCCCTTTTGATGCTTTGGGCCCTAATGGTGGCCGGCCGGACCAGCCGCATACAATGGTCACAGCCACGTCCTTCCCGCAACGCTCGTCGACCAGGTCCTCGGCGTATGATAACGCCTTTTTGGCCGCTTTGCAGGGCGTGTCGATGTGCCCGCCGCGCCGTCCTTACATTTATTTATTCTCTTGCACAGGGTGCCTAGAGCTCCGACCACTTTATTTCGGCGTCGTCGCACCGCCCTTGCCCCAGCGTTGCCCAGCAGCGTTGACCGCCCTGGCCCGCCCCCCCCCCGTCGCACCGCCCTGACCCCCCCCCGCGCCCACCCCCCGGCAGCCCAGCGCACCGCCCGATCCGCCGCGACCGCTGTATTCCGGCGTCGTCGCACCGCCCCCCCCCTTCCCTCCGTCGCACCGCCCTCCCGCCCCGCCCCGCCCTCCCCAGCGCCCGGCAACGCCCCCTTCTGCCGCGACCAACTGTATTCGGCGCCGTCGCACCGCCCCCCCCGCCCCCGTCTCGCCCTCTTCCCCAGCAGCCCAGCGCACCGCCCCGTCTGCCGCTACCACTTTATTCAGGCGCCGTCGCACCGCCTCTACCCCAACCGCCTCCCACTCCCAGCGCACCGTCCCTTCCGCCGCGATCACTCTGGCGTCGCACCGCCCACTCCGCACCGACAACTTTCTTTCGGCGTCGTCGCACCGAGCCCCCCCCCCGTCGCACCCCGCCCTCGACCACCCACCCACGCCCCCCCCTTCCAAGCCAGCCAGCCCGCGGCCCCCCTCGCCAGCAACCCAGCGCACCGCCCCTCCCGCCGCGACCACTTTATTTCGGCGTCGTCGCACAGCCTTCCCCCAGTCAGCCTTCCCCCATCCTTGTTCGCTATTAGAATATACCCCCACCCGCGTCGTATTCCGGCCGATAGCGACCCAATCCGGGACCTCCCATCCGGACTGTAAACAATCATTACAAAGTGGCCGTTTTCTTCTCAACATCGCCGTTCTTGTCGTCGACGATGCGAAAAACGTGGCAAGAATGGGACGCGGCGCGCATCGCGCGCGGCAGTCGATCTGTGCCCGCCCATCCTGACTGTTAAAAGTCTTTGTTTTTTCATCTCAGCATGGCCTGCCTTGTCGCCGGCGGCGCGAAATATGTGGCAACAGTGGGATGCGGCGCACATATGGGACGCGGCGCACATCGCGCGCGCGGCCGTCAATCCGGGCCCGCCCATCCTGACTGTAAAAAATCAATACAGAGTCTCCGCTTTTTCCTCCCAGATGGCCCCCCTTGTCGCCGACGGTGCGAAATATGTGGCAGGAGTGGGACGCGGCGCGCATCGCGCGCGGACGTCCATGCAGGCTGCGGGCCCTCCCATCCTGATTGTTTAAAAAATACAGAGTTGCCGTTTTTCCTTTCATCATGCCTGTCTTGTCCTCAACGATGCGAAATGCGTGGCAGGAATGGAGCGCGGCGCACAGCGCGCGCGGACTTCTGGGGCAACCCCAAGGCGGGAGGGGCCACCTTACTTGTCAGAAGCAATGCCATGCTGATTTTCCTGCCCGCCTTGTCGTCCACCCCGCAAAAGTGCATGGCAAGAGTTGGGCGCGGCACACCCCCCTCCCCCCCGCTCGAAGTGAATGAAATGACTGCTTGGGCGGCGAGCGACATTTTCTCAAAGTTGCGCTCCCGCTTTGGCTCGGCGCACGTTTCTAGCTCGCCAATTCATTGGGCGCCGGGGCGTTCCAGGATGCCCTGGGGTGACGAATGCCTGGGAAGTTTTTTCCTTGTTCAGGCTCTTGGAGGGCCTCGAGGGGCTCCCCGCGGTTTCTTGGCGCTACGGCCGTCAGGGGGCTATCTTGAGCGTCTTGGAACGATCTTTCGGCGACTCAGGGCTACTACTACTACTACTACTACTACTACTACTACTACTACTACTACTACTACGACTACGACTACTACGACTACTACGACTACTACTACTACTACTACTACTACTACTACTACTACTACTACTACTACTACTACTACTACTACTACTACTACTACTAC